ACACGGCAACAAACTGCTGCGTGAAGCCCTCAACCCATCATCTTAAACAAGCCCGATCAACCCTAAGACCTACATCCCTGAACTCCAAGACCCCAAAACCCTCAGCCCTCAATTGAAATCCGAAGCCTCCGAAATCGTAAACTCTAAACCCTAAAAGATCAACACTTCTGAGAAGTGCGGTTGGTCAAATTGCTGCACTGCAATTGGGCTGACGGATGTATAATGGGGTGTCGGTACCTTTTGGGGGGTCTGAAGGTTCGGGGTACCTTACAGGGGGTCTATATTAGAAGGGAACCTTTTTATCTGGGGGTCTACATATTAGGGGTCCCTTCGTTCTCGCAAACCCCCACAAAAGCTTGGCGTTGGCTATGAGAGTTCAGAGTGCAGCGTCCTTAGATAGCTAGGTTTGAGGCTTGAAGGGTTTAGGGTTTAGGGCTTCGCTAGGGACCTTGGGATCGTCCACATGTTTCCTTCCTGTGCAAACTAAGAGGGTCATGTTGAGGAATATCTACACGTCTCAGAGTGTTTAAGGGCCATCCTCCTTCAGGAGTTAGGGAAGTCGGCAGCACACCAGGAAGCTCATGGTGTCAGTGTGGGGGAAGTTTGACAACAAGACAGCCATCTACAAGGCCATGAAGAAGGCAGGGCGGCTTGGACTGAACAGGGGTTAAGGGTTAAGGGCTTAGGGTTCAGGGTTCGGGGTTCAGGGTTTAGAGTTTAGGGTTTAGGGGGACCTCCCCCCCTACTCCCCTCGGGTTTAGCGCAGGGACTCTCTGTTGATTTCGAGCAGCTGGTGCGAATGCTGTTGCAGGATATGAGCGGATATGCGAATCCTGAGTGAGCGGTGCTCCACTTGTGTTTCCATATGGAGAGTCTGAAAGTTATGTTTTTGTGGGCTGGGGGAGGGGGGGGTTAAGGGTGCAGTCTGGTGTGATGGGCTTGTGCTTGTTCATCCCACTTTGGTAGCCCGATCACGCAGCCGAGGATGGTTTTGGGCAACACCAACCAAACCAACAACAACTGGTATGATGCCTGGAACCCGGAGGCACAGAGACTTGGCAACACGCATGGGAATGTGCGACTTGCATCGGGGATAGGGGGAGCAGCATGCATTCAAGTGCCTTAGAACTTGTAGCCTTATAGGTTTAGGGATTCCAGTAGGGTTTGGGGGGGCAGCTTCCCGCTAGCTTAGGCTTCTATGCTGCCTGCAGCAAATAGTGCCAAGGAAGCTGTACTATGCATTCTGCAACAAGTCGCACTTCTCCATCGGCGTGGACTGATGTGCTCATTTCGTCAATCCGGGCGTTGTCTTCAGGGCTTCTGGTTCTCTGAATGAGCCCTATGCCCTAAAACGGTGATGGTGAATGTGCCCCAGCCTCGTTGGGACCACGCGTGAAGGCTTCGCAGCGACATTATAGGGCTCGGGGCCCTGGCCTACAGGCCTACAGATCTGTCGGGTTGGGGCCTTCAGAGCTTTCACGGGCTTTTTAAGGGTTTTGGGCTTGTTGGTGTTTTGGGGTCGTGCAGGAGAGCCTGTGGTTGGATGCAACTGAGCCGGAAGATCTCCCCAACATCGACCAGGAGTGATCTGTGCGACTTGGAGCTTGCTGCTTTGGTTTACGAGTCTGTGCGATGGCGAAGGTGCAGGATTCAGGGTTCAGGGGTTGTGAGGAAACCCTAAACCCGAAGCCCTAAACCGACAGTCATCATACCCGGTCATACCCGAAATGCCTGCGGAGTGGTTCGTCCAGCTATGCGGGTGCCAAAAAAACCTTACACCCTAAACCTTAAACCCTAAACCCTAAACCCTAAGCCCCCCAACGCCCCAAAGACTGGCTCATGGAGCTTCGACTCTCGGGCCTCCTGCGTCGTTCCGCCTTGCCTCCCCGGCCCTGGACAGACCTGGTTAGTGGCAGCGTAGTAGGTAACCACCTTTAACCTTTTTGGGTTTAGGGTTTAGGGTTCAGGGCTGTAGTTCCATTCCCCACCCAGCCCAGATGGAACAAAGGGCTTTAGTTCCGTAGGCTACTGGACAACTAAGCCGGAAGATTCGGGGTGTAGGGTTTGGGCGTGCGCTCTTCTTCGTAATATTGAGTCCGAAGACCCTGTACCCAGGACCCAGTGCCCCTCACTCCCTTTTTTTAAGGGTTTAGGTTCACTTCTAAGCCCCTTTAAACCAAAAGAGGGGCACCCTGTTTATTCCTAGGCTACTCTTGGGTCTAGTTAGATACTATATGGGCCTGAATAGTTGGAATAGGGTTTTGGGGGGTCACTGTAGTAGAATTACAAAGGGACCATAAGGGAACATATTAGTAGTAACTATTCCGACCCCTATTTATAGTATGATTACAAAGGGAATAATATAATATAATTTTTGGGGGGTATTATAGTAGAATTACAAAGGGACCCTAAAGGAATATTATTAGTAGTTCTTCCGACCCCTCTTTGGTGAGCGTCTAGACGCCCTGGGAGCTCCGAGGAGACGTACCTCGGCTCGGGCAACCTTCTGATGAACACCTTCTCGCTGGCAACAACCTCTGGATGCTTGCAAATGCTTGTTTGGGGTGAAGGGTTTAGGGTTTAGGGTTTAGGGTTTAGGGTTTAGGGTTTAGGGTTTAGCGTTTAGGGTTTAGGGTTGAAACCCTAAACCCCAACCCTAAAGCCTTAGCTGAGATTTGGGACTTTCGGTCCTTGGCAGTCAGCCACTGCAGTACAGTCGAAGATGCTTCACGGTTTAGGGTTTAGGGTTTAGGGTTTGGATTTCTACCCCCACCCTGAACCAAGGGGAGACAACAAGTGAACCTGCACAAAAGTCCCAAGACCATATTCTCAAGGTGAAAAATCACCTCTGAAGAATCAGGCTGCGCCTCTGCTTTGGGTCAGGATGTCGGGCATCCCAGGGGTCTTTTCTCAGATTCTTCACGCGCTGCAAACCGACATCCCGAAGCCCAGCCGCTATTTCCACTTCTCAGCGACAGCTGTTATGAAGACCTAAACCGGCCTAAACCCTAAACCCTAAACCCCTAACACCGCTGAACTGTGGAAGTCTCAAGGAATCGCCAACGGCTTGCGGAAGGACTATCCTGATGCCCAGGGGGCCCGGGTCTTCAGCTTGACAAGGACAGCCACCGGAAGTCGGGTTTAGGGTTTAGGGTTTAGGGTTTAGGGTTTAGGGTTTAGGGTCTGTGTAGGTCTCTACGTTGTGTCAAAAGATGGCCGCTTTAGATCTCAGGTACCTAAACAGGGCAGTAGTTGAAGCACAGACCATGTAGATAGGTGCTGATGTCTCTAAGTTTTAGAGAAATGACCAGATGGCTGTCCCAGTGAGGAGCTCCTTTGCTGGCCAGCAAAGAACCGGAGCCGCACTTTGGCGTCTGGGCCATGCATAGCATATTTCAGGGTTTAAGAATTAGGGTAGCAAAATGCGTTTTAAATTTTAAGTTTTAGACTCCTAGGTAGCGGACCGATGTTTCGGATTAGGGATCGGGTTTTGGCCGTTCAACCTGCGCCACATGGTTTCTTTAAATCAGATCTCAGGGTTGAGCTTGTGAGTGAAGCGGTCGTACACTGTCAGGTTTTTGGCTTTCGGGGTATGATTGCAGCGCTTCGGTGCTGAAGTCTTAGCTCAAGACTCCCGAGTGTCCCAGGGACCAGGATGTTGACGCAGGCTTAGGAGTCGTGAATTCCCCGACTCGCCCAAACCTTATACAGCTCGATCCGTAATCCCCAGGCCTTTTTGCAGCAGGCCTTTGAAAGGTCGAGATGGGGGGCTGGCGGGTTGAGGATGTTGGCGTTTGGGGAGGAGAATCTTGGGTTTGAAGGGGCTTCGGATTTGGGCAGGCGTTCTGAGCAACTACGGCCTTTGCTGCATTTCAGGAACAGGGAAGTTGTTGAAGCTGGTCAGCTGATAATGCAAGCCCGAGGACCGGCGACACCACAGCCAGCTGGGATATGCTGCGTCGGCAGGTGGCGAGTTCCATCAACTACCCGCATTTTGTCCTGAGTTGAGGCGCCTTTTTTGGGCCCAAATGAACGCTAAAGGGGTTATGGTTCAAATATCTTCAGAGGCATTTGTGTAGTTTTGGTATATGACCCGCAATTTTGGGGTTCATTGGGTCCCCAAGGTGAGTGAGGTTTGCATCTCGGTGCAGGAGATGACAGGCCGCAAAGCCCGAAACGAGAAGCCCTGGACTTCAAGTCCTACCATGTCTAGACAAACACTTCTGTGTTAGGATGGGAAGCAAGGGTTTAGGGTTTAGGGTTTAGTGTTTAGGGAAAAGTTAATCCTGGTATAACCCTCATGTTCAAGGCCTTGAAAGGTACCCGTCCCACGCCACCATCACAACCACCACCCACCAGCACGTTCACGCTGCCCCCCCTGCCACTGCTGCTGCCACACCGCCTCAGCTGGTGTAAAATCTGTTAGCAGTCATTGGTGGGTCGGTGTAGCGCCAAGCACACGGCGCAGATATCCTGTCTGATTGTCCGCCCAGGCTGTCTGGAATACCTTATTGGTCACAGGACATCGGAGGAACCTTGGATGCAACAGGACATGTTGAGTCGCTGGGTTTTCTGTTGGCTGTTTCGATTCTGGGTATGTGCCCTGGAAAGCACCCCACATCACTGCAAGGGCCTCTAGGGAAGGCCAGGTTGCAGGGCAAAAAGGACCTCGGGTTTGGGCAAGAAAGGCCAGAAGCTCTCCCATGGTTTGTGCGAGCCAGGCTTCTTCCGGCCGAAGGATCAATACACGTCTGCCTCTTGACTGGACTGCTCTACATTTGCTTTTAGGGTCTCTGTTGTTCAAGCAAGACCTAGCCAGTTGCAGATCAGAGCTTGGGTTTTGCTGCCCGTGAGACGGAGCATGATCACAAGTCACCTCAGCAGAGGATGACTATCACCGACTCCTGATCCGCTGGTTTCAGTTTGGCGTTTTTACCCCGATCTTCCGCGTCCATGGGGCCGGCAGCCACACAGAGATCTGGAACTTCGGGAACCAGACCATGAGCATCATCAACATGTCGGCCATCACGCTGAGGTATCGGCTGCTACCCTACGTGCCCGGGCGACCCAAAACAAGAGTAACATGTTTACTCTCTCTGGGTTTTTAGCAGTGGCAGCAACAGACTTTCGATTCTAGAGAGAATCCTTGGAGCCTCTTGTGTTCTACGGTTTCAGGTGTGGGTTTACGAAGATGGGGGAGCCCCGAAAAGATACCCCAAGTAGTAGGAAATTTCAGAAGCCACCAGGTGTATTCAGGATTCTGGCGCGTAGAGGGGCAGTCCTATACAATGCAGCGAGCATTGGCTTTCGATTTTGCCGCGGATGTGGCTACGCGCGATGTTTCTGACGCATACATGTTTGGGCCTTCCCTGCTCGTAACTCCCATTGTTTCTGCTGGAGCCTCTGGAGCAGCGACGACAAGAGAGGTCTACTTCCCGGAAGGCAGCTGGATCAACTTCCATACCGGCAAAGGGTTCGGAGGGAAGCAGAATGTCAGTTTCCCTTTGGAGCAAGCTCCCTTCTTCTGCCGTCGGGGGTCAATCCTGGTCTTAGGGCCGAGTGTCCAGTCTGCATCTGACAAGAATCCGGCTCTGGAAGTACGAATCTACCCGGGGGCAGATGCTACCTTTACCTTATTCGAAGACGATGGTGCCTCTACCAAGTACCGCCAAGGCAGCTATTCAACAATCACCTTCACCTGGCACGACAGCGTCTAGACTTCTTAACCCTTGCTTGCCGGGTTGGCGTAGTAAGCATATGGCATAGCTTTGAATTTCGAGAAGTGTTTTTCTTGGCTCATTTTTTCTTGGCTCATGCTTCTACCTAGGCAGCAAGGAACTGCTGGTGTCCAGCAGGAGCGGCACCTACCCTGGCATGCCGCAAGAGAGGCAAATTTGTGCGGTGGTCGTTTCGCCCAGTCACGGGGTGGGGGTGGCCCAGTCTACCTGCGATCGGCGCGTGACCTACGCCGGACAGGAGGTCCTGGTTAAGCTCCAGAGCCTCGTGGTTGTGTAGCACAGCCAGTGAGATGCTCGGCACGCCGTAGGACTATGTAAAGCGCTGTCTGGAACCCGAAAACATGGAAGTCCATTGCCGAGGCTTTTCAACTACATCGTGTTCGGTTAGGCATCATCAAGTTTTTGGGCCCCAGGCAGTGAGCCAGCCAACTTTGTCAAGCTGGCGAGAAGCCGTTTGAAAATCATGTTCTGTTGCAATCTATATTTACATAGCAGCAAATACAGGTTCTGTGATCAGACACCCTAAACAAGCCTCCTCCTCCAACAGGGGGACACCCTACTGTCGAAGAGCCCCCAAAGTAAGCAATTGAGCCGGCAAATTAGCTGGGACCCCTTGAACCCAAAACCGCTGCAGCTGTCACACTGCAGCATACGGTGGCCCTAAATGCGCATGGATCTGTTCGAAACCCTAACTGCGCGTAGTAGGGACATGCGCACACGCACTCTCTTCCCTGGAGTGGGTTCCCCCATCTCGTCGTCGAAGCCGCATTGTGGATAGTTCTCTGCATCAGGGTCCCGTTTTCAGTCCCCTTTATCATACGGCACTCTTACAATAAGGGCCGCAAATGGGACCGTATTGCAGAGAACATTAGAGAACTACCCATATGAAAATAATTAGGACATAATAAGGAGTTGTTTATGGTGGTTCCTGCGATTGAGTTCCACTGCTCACGGAGCTGCACCTCCTGGCCGAGCTGGGCGACACAAGGGATGTACCCTAAACCCTAAACCCTAAACCCTAAACCCTAAACCCTAAACCCTAAACCCTAATCCTAAATTTCGGGAGACCCCAAGTCTCCTTTCCCCCTGGTGGCCTCGCTGCGTCGCAGGCGCTGGTTCCCGACAGCCCCTCGCGAGCGCTGGACGCCCAGCTGCCTGACGATGCCGCTTGGCTGGAGACAGCTGGGTTCCTGTTGAGGACTGTTAAATGTTTAGGGGGTTCAGGGTTTAGGGTTTAGGGTTCCAAGCTGATTTGGTGCAGGGTCTGGGTTCAAAAAAAGGGTTCCAAAATTCATGCAGCTGGCGAGATTGTCTAGAGCCCAGTATTCAAAAGGGTACCAGAATAGGGTTCTATAAAGACGCAGTTTACGTTTGTTTCCTAGGTAGGATATGGGGGACCCTTAAAAGGGAACCCCTTCTGAACCCTCTTCTGGCTCTCTTAAACAGGGACCTTATTCAGAGGGTCTTTATCCCCAAGGGTCCCCCTAATCCTATCCCCTATTGTTAAGGGCCCCGGGTTTAGCCTCAAAGCCCTATGAAAGTCGTGTGATGTTTTGGACTTGCAGACTGAAGTCGAAGCTTGAGGTAACAGGGTGTTTAGGGTTTAGGGTTTAGGGTTTAGGGTTTAGGGTTTAGGGTCTAAGTAGAGTTTTAGTGTTTAGGTTTTTCCGGGTTTTTGTAGGTCGATTTCCCACAAGATGGCTGTCCTAGCATGTTGTATGCAGGGGCGGAGCCATTAAGGGCAGAGACCGGGGAGTTGCACCTCAGGAATGCATTCCAGATGCCTCCTTTGAACTGCAAGTTTGGGGTTTAGGGTTTAGGGTCGAGGGTCTGGGGTTTAGGGTTTAGGGTCTTAGTCAGGGTTGGAGTCTTCAGATGTTGCACGGTGCCTCCTTCGTCTTCGTGCACGCGCGCGCGCGCGCGCGCCCCCGCGTCTTGCATGGCTGACACCGAAGGCCTGCATCGGGCCACAAGTGTTTGAAAAGGTGCTTGTCAAAAGTGCTGCTTCCAAACCCTAAACCCTAAACCCTAAACCCTAAACCCTAAACCCTAAACCCTAAACCCTAAACCCTAAAGGACTTTGCAGCACAACATCACCCTGTCCTGCAGAGGGGGTGGTAGAGTAGAAGCTGGGGCGACAGCGGTGGCGTGCCCTGCTTTGCTCAGGCCGTGGCGCTGTTCACTCAGGAGGCTGCCAGGCTCCTCGCCTTTGCATTGGCAGCTTCTTGGTGTCCGAGTTTCTTCTAGACTATACCCTAAACCCGAAACCCTAAACCCTAAACCCTAAAGCCCTAAACCCTAAACCCTAAACCCTAACCCCTATCAGAGCCAGCCCGCAGGATCCCTGAAAGCTAGGGGTGTATATGGGACACTTGGGGCCTAGGGCTCTGTAGCACAGTTTAGGGAAGCCACCCTAAACCGATGACAGTCACCTCGTAGAGGCCCTGAACCCTAAACCCTGAACCCTGAACCCTGAACCCTGAACCCTGAACCCTAAACCCTAAACCCCAAACCCCAAACCCTAAACCCTAAACCGACTCTGGGGCGCTCTGCGCTCCTGCTTTGCAGCTTGATAGAGCTCGATTGGGTCCCAAGAGCTAGTGCTGTGCAACGTGATCGAAGCCGCTTGATGTCGAGAGTGTAGAGTTGTCCTTGGAGTGCAAGTGCAAGTACAGCATGCACTGTGGGGGGGGGGGGTCGGGGGGGAATAACAAGTTGAAAGAAACGGGTCGGCATGGGAAGCTTGTGTTGCTCGTGTGTAAAGAGGAAAGGCCAAACTGTTCGAAAAGCAACCCCTTCTCCTCCTGCAGAGCTGAGACAGGAGCCAGCTGAATGCACTGTCCGCTCGGAAGCGACCACCTGACCTCCATGAGGCCTTGAGCAAGGGCACTCAACGCAGAACTATTTGGCTGTGGTAACCGAACTCGCACTTTGTCTAGCATCCGGGGGAGGAGAAGTGGGACACAGCGAGGCATCCAAATAAGCTTTCAACATAAGCTCCATGTGGATGTGTTCGACACGGTCCCAGGATTTCTGATGAGAGTCAAAGGAGGGCCTGAAGGGTCCACACCCTAAGCCCAAAGAGTGTAAAACTAAACCAAACCCTGCCATTTTCGTGAATTCGGGCCCGGTCCTTCTTGGGCAATTCTAGGCACCGAAGGCTTCTAAGAAGCAGAGGTTATGAAGGAGAAACAGGCAGCATCAACGAGAACACATGCGACGAGTATGTCCTCCGCGGCGCTGAGGGGATGTGTGATCACGGGCTTCAAGCCCCCAACCCCCAAATGCCAAAGGGTTTTCCCCAGATGCCCCGCACCCTCACTTGGGAAGTAAGAGCGGCCGATTTGGGGGACTGGAAGGTATGAAGCCTCAACCTCTCCACCCGAAACCCGGCATTCTGAACCCTTGGTCCGCCTGGTTTGGAGGTCTCGGGGTAGTCACATGGTCACTTGACATGGCCCTTTGCTTCTTTAAAGGGGTTCCGACTTATGGGACCGTGAAATTACCCTTAGGGGATGGCAGGGTTTAGGGTTTAGGGTTTAGGGTGCAGCAGTCCTAGCCGTAAAAAGGGTTTAGGGTTTAGGGTCTAGGGTTTAGGGTTTAGGGTTTAGGGTTTAGGGCTTTTAGTGGCCGGAGGTGGTGTCAGTGCTCTCGCTGCTGCCTTTCGCCGGTGACAAGCGAAGGACGCCGGCGATGTTCTCACAAGGGATCTAGCACTTTGCGTCCTACCCTAGACCCTAGACCCTAGACCCTAAACCCTAAACCCTAAACCCTTACCTCAGACTCAAGAACGCAAAAAGGGGCTTTATTGCAACAAGCTACCAAAAGTCGGCTGTGGTTTTTCAGATACCTCTTGGATGCCATGAACGAAGACCAGCAAAAGATCCCCCCAGGGAAAGAAGTACATGCCATAGAAAGCCCCTAAACCCAAAACCCTAAACCCTAAACCCAAAACCCTAAACCCTAAACCCTACGTAGATGACAGCATTCTGGTGTGGTCCTTGGCAGCTGAAAGCTCAAAACTAAATATGCGGCGTCTGCGCAGTGAGGTTTAAAGTTGAAAGTTTTTGGTTTAGAGTTTACGGTTTACAGTTTAGGGTCTAGGGTTCAGGGGCTGTCCTAAACTAGGCTGGGTGCAAATTCTAAATGAAATGCCCTGCGTTAACAAACAAAGAACCCTTGAGCCACGCGGGGGCAAGAGAGTGAGAGGGACATTTGGGAGAGGGAGGGAGGGAAGGCTTCTAAAGCCTAAGCCCCAGAACCCAAACCCTGAAAGCAAACCCCTGAACCCTAAACTCTAAACCCTGAACCCGGAACCCTCAAACCCTCAAACCCTCAAACTCTCAAACCTGAAACCTTGAAACCCTCAAACCCTGAAACCCTGAAACCTAACCTGAAAGCCGGTGAGCAAAAAACTTGTTTCGGATTTTGGCTTTTTGGGCCGCAGGGACCTGGAGCTCCAACTCTTGAAGCTGGCGAGGATGGACAAGCAGGCCAGCTGTGCTGAGTAGGGGTTCAGGTTTAGTGTTTAGGGTTTAGGGGTTAGGGAGAGGTTCAGGGTTTTGGGGTTCGCGGTTTAGGGGGGTTGCCCTACCAAAATCGAACACCTGTCCTTGGGCATGGGGAGGTCTCCCTTTCCCCAAGACTGACTTGGGATTTTTGAGCCCTTACATGGGGAATCCCAGACTGCTACAGTATTTGCTTAAGACACCTCCCCGAAAATAACACATTCCTGATTCCTGAGTAGCTGGGTGAGCAAACTTTACACTTTTTGGGATACTATAATCCCCTATAGAATTGAAAGTGTACACTTTTTTGGGGCTTATGAACTCAGCAACTAAGATTCTTCCTCATGAGGGTAATACAGGGATTACATTCTTTAATTTCTGGGGGTTCTGAGGCCAGTAGTGGCCGACCGGTTTTCAAAAACGAGGCCGCGAACCCTGTCTTCCTGCTTGCCGACACGATCGTCGCGTCTGTGGGGGCAAAGAAGGCGCGACGCCTTTCAGGGTTCGGGGCGGCTTTAGTTCTGGTTGTGGCTTCGGATATTCCTCCCTTTATACTAGCAGTCCTTAAACGAGAGTATACTAGGGGGTACTATAATCCCTATGAAGGACTGTTCTTATAAAGGAACATCCCAACTTATGGTTGTGTCAACCCTCATAAAGTCGTTAGGTGTCTTGAAGCTGAACCAAGACTTTCGGATGTAGAGCCTTGTTGGAGGGCAGGGTCCACCAAATCTCCCTGGTCGGCCTCTTCATGACCATGATCAACGGC